TGAAATTGTTTTCTTAATTTCTCTTTCTGCTACTTCAATATTAGTGTATAGAAATGCAACTGATTTCTATGTACTAATTTTGTATCCTGCAACTTTACTTAATTACTACTTCTTACATAATTTTTTTGTGGAGTCTTTATGGTTTTCTATATATAGTATCATGTCCTCTGCATCAACTCTGTATCAACTTCTTCCTTACCAATTTGGATGCCTCTTATTTCTTTTTATTGTCTGATTGCTATGGCTAAGCCATCCAGTACTATGTTGAATAAAAGTGGTGAGAGTGGACATCCTTTTCTTGTTCCTGATTATAGAGGAAAGAGCTGGGACATTTTATATCATCTTCTCTGTCTGATCCTCAAACCAGGTTTTACACCACTGGCTGCTTTGGTTCTTAAGCCTTTGGACTCAGACTGAATTAGACCATCAGCTTTAGTCAGTGTCCAGCTTGCAAATGGTAGATTGTGGGACTTCTCAGCCTCTATAATTGCATGAGCCAATTCCTCATAATAAATATTATATTTATTATACAATATCAATCATTATATGTATATATATATACAGACATACATATAACACACACACAGACATATCCCTATATCCTACTGGTTTTGTTTCTCTGGAGAAGTGTGACTTACACATCAACGTTATACTGTCTATATGAAACCCACTTTAAGTATAAAGAACACATAGTTTAAAAAGTAAAAGCATGGAATATGATATACCATGAAAACACTAAAAAGAAAGCTGGAATAGTGATATTAATATCAGATAAAACATATTATCGGAGATACTGAAAGACATTCCATAATTATGAAGGCGACAATTCTCCCTGAATATATAACATTTTAAAATCCGGGAAACAAACTGAGGGTTGTGGAAAGGGAGGTGGGTGGGGGATGGGGTAACTGGGTGATGGGCATTAAAGAGGGCACGTGATGTGATGAGCACTGGGTGTTATATGCAACTAATGAATCATTGACCACTACATAAAAAACTAATGATGTACTATATGTTGGTTAATTGACTTTAAATTAAAAAAATAAATCCTTAAAAAAATTTAAAAATTAGAAAAAATAAAATGTGTATGTATCTGCAAAAGAGCTTCAAATATTTGAGCAAAACCTGATAAAAATAAGGAGAAATAGACAAATCCACAGTTACTGTTGAACGCTTCAACACTCCTCACCCAGCAACCAGTAGAACAATTATACAGAAGATCAGTAAGGACACAAAAGACCAGAATACACTATCAACAATTTGATCTAATTTCCATTTATAGAACACTTCACCCAACAACAGGGGAATACATCCTTTTCAAGTGCATATGGAACATACACGGAGAGAGCATATTATGGAGCACAAAACAAACCTTGAGAAATTTAACAGAATAGAAATAATGCAATGATCCCAACAGAATCAAACTAAAATTCCATAACAAAGATACCTAGAAAATCTCCAAATACTCAGAAATGACAGAAAATACTTCTATACAATTGATGGGTGAAAAAGGAACTCTCAAGGGAAATTTTAAAAAATATTCTGAACTGAGTGAATGAAAATAGAGATATAACATGTCATAGCTGTGGGATGCCATTGAAGCATCACTTGAGGGAAATTCATAGCAGTTAATGCTTATCCTAGAAATAGGTAAGATCTAAAATCAGTAATCCCAACTTCCACTTTATGAAACTAGGAAAAGAAGATCAAATTAAACCCAAAGGAAGCATAAGAAAGAAATGATAAAAAAAAAAAAAAGCCCAGAAATCAATGAAATTAACAGAAAAGCATGAGAAAATCAATTAAACCAAAGCTAGTTCATTGACAAGATCAATAAAATTGACAAACCTCTGGCCAGATTGACCAACACAGAAAGAGAGAAGACACAAATGACCAATATCAGTCATGAACAAGGGAGTCTCACCACAGGACCTACAGGCATGAAAAAGAAAATAAAGGAATACCGTAAAAGACTCTATGCCTTTAATTCTGCAACTTAGATAAAATGGACCTTAAATAGTCCTATATTCATTAAAGAATTGAGCATACGGTTAGTGCCAGAAGGAATTTATTAGAAAGGATTACACTACAGAGGTGGCTACGGCAAGTCTTTTTGCTATTCCTCTCTTACTCAAGAACTGACATTTTGCTAACTCGCGGGTTGTACATCAAATCTTTTTTATTGGTGAAACTAATGCCATACTGTTATGATGAATGCTAGAAATGGGATTTTATTTGTAAAATTAAAAGTATTCAATAGAGGAGAGACTTGCATGGTCTCTCTCTCTCTCAAATAAAAAGTATTCAGGGGCACCTGGGTGGCTCAGTTGGTTGGGTGGCTGCCTACGGCTCAGGTCATGACCTCAGGAGTCCTGGGATCTAGCCCTGCGTCAGGCTCCCTGCTCAGCAGGCAGTCTGCTTCTCCCTCTCCCTCTGCCCCTCTCCCTGCTTGTGCTCTGTCTCTCTCCCTTAAATAAATAAAAAAATAAAATAAAATAAAATGTATTCAATATATATGGATTAGTTAAAATAGAAGACACCCCGTATCTTCACATGAACAGGGTGTAAGAATACTCCAAGGGTTTTACCCTATACTCCATAGAATAACACTAGTGACTTGATCCCCAAAGGGTCCTGTGCTCTGCTGTTAGTTTAGGAGGATTTCTGACTGTATGAAGCTAATGAGAAAACTATGTACTGTCTCTTCCATAAGGATGTGCTCAGAGCACTTAAAACAACAGAGATCTGGGACTTAAGCTTATAGAAGAGGTTTTATGATGAGCTGTACTTACTTTGCTAATGAAAAATGTCTGTATGAGGCAGAATTCTATTTTGTTTTATTATTTTTAAATTCCTGGTGATGGGTATTAAAGAGGGCACGTACTGCATGGAGCACTGGGTGTTATACGCAAACAATGAATCATGGAACACTACATCAAAAACTAATGATGTAATGTGTGATGACTAACATAACATAACAAAATAAAATTAAAAAAAGAAAAAAAATATTTTATTTATTCATTTGAGAGCAAGAGAGCATGAGCGGGGGGAGGGGTAGGGGGAGAAGCAGGCTCTCCGCTGAGCAGGGAGCCCGATGCGGGGCTCAATCCCAGGACTCCGGGATCAGGACCTGAGCTGAAGGCAGATGCTGAACCGACTGAGCCACCCAGGTGCCCCAAGGCAGAATTTTATATAAGCCTTTGTTTTTATTGTAATCTTGTAGTGAGAACACAGAGGAGTAGCTAGAGCTCCACCCCCTCAGATTTCTTTGCCAGCCATCACTATATACCAAATCATAGAGGTACATTACCAAGTGACTTAGTCAGTTTGCATTAGCTAGCTATTATGCTAAACATTTTGTGTTCATTAACTCATTTATTTCTCAAAGCAATGCTAGGGGACAGGAACAAGGCATATGATAAAACAGTAAGGTGAGTAACGTGAAGCTCAGAGAGATGAGATGACTTACCCAAAGTTATACAGCAAGGTCAGGGACCCAGGTTGTCTGATTTCAGTGCTGGTGTTTTAACCATTGCATTCCATTCCACTACCTGATGTCTTTTATCTTATTTTATTTATTTATTTATTCGAGAGAGAGAGCAGGGGGAGGGCCAGAGTGGGAGGGAGATGCTGGGCTGAGGGCAGAGCCTGATGCAGGGCTCGATCTCACGACCCTGAGGTCATGACCTGAGCCAAAAGCAAGAGTCAGATGCTTAACCGACTCAGCCACCCAGGCACCCCCTACTACCTGATGTTTTTAATCATCTCCTGGGAATATATGAAATTGAATAGATGATATCAGTAGGAATCAGCCTTCTGTGGAGCTGAGGACAGGCTAAATTTACAGTCCCTGGATATTAGAGGTATCGGGGGCTCAGTTACAGAGAGCTTAATATGGCAACCGTGTTGACCTCAATACTCCTGACGACACTTGGGGTTGAGTTTTTTTAATTTTTTTAAATTAAAAAAAATATTTTTATTTTTTTTTTAAGATTTTATTTATTTATTTGACAGAGAGAGACACAGCGAGAGGGAACACAAGCAGGGGGAGTGGGAGAGGGAGAAGCAGGCTGCCCGTGGAGCAGGGGAGCCCGACGCGGGGCTCGATCCCAGGACCCCAGGATCACGACCTGAGCCGAAAGCAGACGCTTAACGACTGAGCCACCCAGGCACCCCGAGTTTTTTTTTTTAATAACACCTTTATTGAGATGTAATTTACATAGCATAAAATTCAACCTTTTAAAGTGTATGATTAAGTGGTTTTTAGGATATTCAGAGTTGTGCAGCTCTTCTCTGTTAGCCCTCGTTGGGGAAATTGATTCTTTTGTATTTGTGACATTGGTCAAATTTTGATTAATGGCCTATTGTTTGGCCATCTCCGCTGCAACAAGTCAAACCCTCCCTAAATGTTCCACCAGGTTCCTCCAGCCTTGGTCTTTGTGGAAGTCATTCAAAGGAGAATTTAGGGTGGCTCCCTGAAACATGAGCATTTTTTCATTTTTCTTTTGTCAGCTATTAACTAGCCCTGCCCCGACCTCCTACAGAAAATACATCTGGGAGGTACGCGGGAGAGGCTCCGCCCTACCCTGCGGGCACAAAAGTATCTTCAGTATGAAACTTGCAAAGAGATTAAAGTTTCTGTTTCAATCTGGATAAAACAGCGGTTCCTCATCTGAGGTCACCACCAGGTTAACCAGCAACTTATTATGAATGAGGCACTCTGCCTTACACATATATTCACTACTACTTCTAAAACACACACGGCTGATAGGATGGATAAAGCACAAAGCCTTTCTAACCGTGTGGCTAAATTCCTAGTAACTTTTTTTTTTTCATTATATATTTTCTTAATCAGCAGATAGAAAAAGTACAGCTACTCTCATGGGATAATCAGAGAAAGTTTTGATGGACCAAAGAAGTCATGTGGACTCAAAAACGTGGAGGGACCACTGAGTTAAATAAAGACTCTTCATAGGGTATCAAATTTTCACTCAGTAGGGAGTCAACTGATCAGCAGTCATTAACACAATGGTCTTAATTCACTGGACTGCTTCTGGGTAGCCCATGAAACAATTTCATCCTAAAAGCAGAGTGGGAATCAGAAATGGCCCCAAGCAGGTCTAGGGGGCTAGGAAGTTCAGCATTTGGAGGGCCCCGCGTGCTTGGGGGAAATGGATGCTTTTTGTATTGATGACAGTAGTCAGAGTCTGACGGATTAATGTTTGGCTGGTACCGCTCCAAAGAGCCAAACCCTGAATGTTCTCGCGTGTTGGAAGACACTCGAGGGGGGAAAAGAAGGGTGCTGAGCACCAGGGGTGGGGTCTAAAAGGAAGGAGGGGGCTGCCAAATGTGTGATCCAGACCGCATCTACCCGCTTCTTCGTCTGTTGGGAGGGCAAGGAGATAGTGATATCTACCCCCAAAGTTAGCAGATGACTTTTAGAGTTCCTTTTCTTTGGAGCTTCTCCCTTCCCTTTGTTCCTTCCCAGAAACTCCTCCCCCGATACTTGCTTGCAAACCTTCCCCGTCCCATCCCACCCGGAGTCCCACTTCTTATCCAAAGCCATTCAATCAGCTCGAATTGTCTTGTGTTTTTCTGGAGGGGTTCCCTCTCCAAAGTTGCCAGGATGTCTCAATATTCTTGGAGCTTGTCCTCAGTTTCCAAAACTTGAGGGCGTCCCATCAGCCACAGTTCTGACTTCAAATACACACTGACCTTTTCCTTTCAACCAAACACCCTCCCCCTTCCCCATTGCATTGCGTCAGAGCCTCCTCAGGCCTGTTGCACTGCTCCAGGCATCCCCCTGCCTGTGGCTTGGGGTTAATATCTGGTCCTTTCCAATCCCACCCCATGTGATTGTGTCTTTGTTTCAGATCCAGGAGAGTAATCACACTCCGACTGGGTCTCCACTAGCCAAAGCAAAAGAGACACTTGAGGAAACAATTGGCCAGTCCCTGCAGAAGGGGATCTTGAGTTGTCGGAAAACCAGCCTATTGCCTCAATTCTCCTCTCTACCTGACATGACCTCAGGGCCCTAAGTGGCTGCTTTCCTTGGCACTAATGAGGCCAGAGCACAATGACTTCGGTTGCTTGAGAAGAGGCCATATCCCAAGAGAGAGCTAATTTTCTTAGAGGGAGTTTTCTTGGAATTGCGGGGGCAAAGGCTCTGGAGACCTGGGCTAACAACTTCGTTGTCTGCCTCTCTCCAACCTCTTGCTGAGGGCCACCTAATGGCACAGGAGGGTGGAAGGAGGAGGGGACTGAGGTGGAGGGCCAGAGCAGTTCCCAGGCTGCAGTCAGGGGAGCAGGTACGGTGTTCCTAGGGCACGTAAAACCGTAGAGCTGACTAAAAGTTAGTCAGACCTTTATTATCACCGTGTTCCAGTAATTCTGAACAGCGGCAGTGCTCAAACACTAATCCCCTGGGTACCCCACTGCCTCCGCAGCAGTAGCACCTCTGGGGTTCCCTCATCCCCTCGGGAGGGTCACGCCTCAGGCTGAGCTTTCAGGTAAGACTTCAGATTCATACCCCTTTCCTCCATCGAAATTTCCGTCTTGTGTTCCATCCCCTTAGGACTCTGCTCTCTACTTTCACTGGTGGGATTTCTTTATAGGGGAGGACGTACAGTGGGTACCCAGCTCTCCCCGCCAGGAGCGCCTGCGTGGTAATGCGAGTCACACGCAGAATCCGTGCTTCAGTCCAATGCTTGTTTGAACCCTTTGGAAGCAGGGACGCCCTGTTTGCAAACAAAATATGGTGTGGAACCCCAACTCTCAGCCTCCTTCAAGCCTCCCCTTCAATGTCATTTCCTTGGGGAAATCTTCCTTGTCCTTCCATGATAAGGACAAGTCTTTATGACCTACACTCTCATCGCCCCCTTGGTCTTGCCCTTTCTTACCACCCTTGGGATTATTCTCTGGTAGACAATGAGCTCTTTGCTTGAAGCAAATGCCAGCTCTATCTTGTCCACCGCCAGAACCCCAGAACCAAGTCCAGTACGTGGCCCTCTCTGGGTGTGCCAGACCTGAGTGAAGACACAGAAGTGTTTCTATGACTACAGCCTGTGGGTAAATGAACATTGGAAAGAGCCATGTCACATGTCACACCGTGGGCTTTTATTGGAATTATGGTCAACCACCACCCCCAGGTCATTTTTTCAGAACAACACAAAAAAGGGGTCAGTCAGGCTTTCCTACCTTGTAGTCATGTGGTGACATTTTAAAACGAACAGCAGTGGCCTCAACTCCCATATTCCAGGGGGTAGATTTCTTCCTCCTCTCCTTGGCACTAAAATCAGATTCTTGCTCTTACTAAAGCCTGGCGGAAGTCCTGCGGGGACACCCCCTCTCCTTTTCTATACCAGAACCCCCAGAAGTCTTCTTCTTTTTAGTTATCCCAGGTTGGCCCTTCCTTCAAAACCAGGCTCAGGTTCTACTTTCTGCCTGAAATAAGCCAAGCTTTGGCTGCTTTCCCTTTTCTTTGAATGACTGGAGTTCAAGGATAAATGGCTCACTGAATTTTTTAAAAATGGAATTTACTGTGCACTTACTATGTGCCTGTCACTATCACGAACACAGTACATTATCTCATTTAAGTCCCACAGCAACCCTTTGAAGCAGGGACTCTTCTTATCCCATTTTACAGATAGGGAATCAGAGATTAAAAGATGTAGAGGGGCACCTGGGTGGCTCAGTCGGTTAAGCGTCCGACTCTTGATTTCGGTTCAGGTCATGATCTCATGGGTTGTGAGATCAAGCCCCGTGTCGGGCTCCATGCTTAGTGGGAAGTCTGCCTGAAAGATTCTCTTCCTCTGCCCACCCCCTCTCTCTAAAATAAATAAATACATCTTTTTTTTTTTTTTTTTAAAGAGATGTAGGAAACCGGGAGAAAGGGAAAGAAATGTGAATTGTTTGCATATGTTAATTCCCTGTCTTCTCTTGGTTCCCTGACAGGAGAGGACTCCTCGCTAAGTCCTCGCTACGTTTGACTCCAAACTTCCTATGTGATTCTATTATTAACTGTGGTGATTCTTTGAACAGAGGTGAACATCTTGACTGCAAGAGTGAAAACTGACTTGAGCCCTTCTGCAGTGTTTTCTTTTACCCAGACTCCCTCCTGATGAAGCAATCTCTCTCCTCGGATACATTGCTGAATTTCAGAATTCACTTCTAAGTGCCCCCTCTTGGGGCTAGTACATGGCCACAGCCCTGTGAGGGCTAATGCACAGCCTGCAGGTCAACAATGCTTTTAAAAGAGCACCGCCCCCCAATGGAAGCTGCTACTTTCCACCATAAACAAACCCAAACCTGGGCATTTTAGACATGTAGCAGGTTCAGAAGTAAAAGGAGGTGAAAACAGAGAGGGAGGGAAACCATAAGAGACTCTTAACTCTAGGAAACAAACTGAGGGTCGCTGGAGGGGGCAGGTGGGGAGAGCGGGTAACTGGGAGACGGGCATGAAGGAGGGCACTTGATGGAATGAGCTCTGGGTGTGATATGCAACTGATGAGTCACTGATTCTTACCCCTGAAACTAATAATAATAATAATAATAATAAAGAAGTGAAAGGAGAAAGCTGGAAAGCAGGAGGAATGGCATAGTGCTGTTTCCAAGAGGTGGCGGTGGGTGGGGACTGCAGAGACTCAGGCAGAAACGAGAGTATGGCTTGCTTACTTGATGCTCTCTACTTGCCCCCATCCCTCCACCAGAGAGCAAACCTCACCCCTCACCCCCAACACACACACACACACACACACACCCCTTCCTCCTACTGTCTCCATTGTCAGAAGGTTTTCACTCACTCCAGCCTTCTGCCTGTAATTTTGTAATTGGGGAATTCATTTTGAGGGTAATGAAGACTAATAAAGTCTTTAAAAGTGAAAAGGTATCTGAGGGTTAAGGATCTCTCACTCACTTGACTCAATGTGCTTCCTCTCTAATGCCCAGACAACCACCCCGTAGGGATTCAGGTTCTGATTGTTGTCCGAAGGAGGTCCTTCATGGTGGAGCCTGCGGTCCCCTCCGTGGGGCCAGGCAGGCCTGGGTCTGGGATAGCCGGATGCGAAGGGCGGGATGACAGCGCCGGACTGGAGAGAGAGTGCGTGACGAAACAGGCTGTCAGGACAAACTCTGTCTTTGACATTTTGCCTCCAGCCGGCTCCTCACCCACCTCTCCGCCGCCCCATCCAGAAAGGTGAAACTCCCTGCTCACTCCTCACCACCCACCCTTGCCCCCAGGACTGAGCTTAAGCAGGTACTAATTAGTACTATATATATAACTTGGTTATGTTCAGGGTTCAAGAGGCTTGTGTGGACTGGCCCGGGAATCCAAGCGTCAAATAAAATGATGTTTCTATAAGAAAATGCTGGATTCTATGGGCGCCTGGGTGGCTCAGTTGGTTAAGCAACTGCCTTCGGCTCAGGTCATGATCCTGGAGTCCCGGGATCGAGTCCCGCATCGGGCTCCCTGCTGGGCAGGGAGCCTGCTTCTCCCTCTGACCCTCCCCCCTCTCATGTGCTCTCTCTCTCTCATTCTCTCTGTCTCAAATAAATAAATAAAATCTTAAAAAGAAAAGAAAATGCTGGATTCTAACTTGTGGGCCAACACTTCACTCCCAGATTGGGGACTGCTTAAACTTGGGAGGCAGCGCAGAACTCTTGTGTATGGTAACTTGAAACCAGGCCTCGGGTTTCTTGTATGGTCCATTTTGCGAAAGCTCCATACACACCATGTTGGAATCTAATTATTCACACACACACACAGACATGGATAGAGATATAAGTATTGTAACATGCACTACGGCTATTCCAAATATTATATTGCAATATAGAGAGTCTATATAGAAATATAGATACTACTTGTCATTGAAGCCTTAGCAAGAATCCTTCACAGCTGTGAGGTCTATGCCACAAATGTCTACATCTTGCTCTAAGCACTAAAAAAGAAAAAGAAAAAGAAAAAAATCTATGTGTAAATCTGTTATCTGTGAGCTATTTTTAAAAGAAGCCTTATGGCAAATCATTTTGCGTGGCAAACAAGCACTTTTTCATTTGTATTTGTTAACCAAGATTTTATTCGGTTTTCTTAGATGGGGTGACAGAGAAGATGTTCTGAAGGACTGGATATTCAAGTAATCTCGGGACTGCTTTCTTTCTCAACTGGAGAAAGAATCTCACTAGACTGACCATGCACTTGGCAAATATTTATTGAATGCCTAAAAGTGCTGGCCACCGGGTCTCTGCCCTCTCAGAGTTCTCCAGTCTAATCAGGGAGACTGGGGCTGAGCAAATATGTCATTTTTATGCATGCAGTTGACTCTTGAACAACATGGGTTTGAACTGTGCAGGTTCAGTTCAACACGCAAATTTTGCATCGTACAGTACTGTAAATGTATTTTCTCTTCCTTATGCTTTTCTTAATACCATTTCCTTTTCTCTAGCTTACTTTCCTGTAAGAATCCAGTATATCTTACATATAACATCCAAACTATGTGTTAATCAACTCTTGATGTTATCGGTAAGGCTTCTGGTCAACAGGAGGCTCTTAGTAGTTAAGTTTTGGGGGAGTCGATAGTTATATGCAAATTTTTGACTGTGGCGGGGGGCTGGCACCTGTAATCCCCAAGTTATTAAAGGGTCCACTGTAATGGCATGGAAAATGTGAGTGCTCTTAATGTCCTCATCTCTAAAATAGGGCCAATAATAGGACCTACCGCACAGGGCGGTGGTTGAGGATTAACTAAGAAAACACGCATGTCAACAGATCGTACTCCAGAGACTGGCATGAGCTAAGTGCTTTGGTTGTTATTTCGTAAGAGCATGGGGGAGGGCACAACTAACTGCCTGAAAGAGGTGGCCCAGGTCTGAGATGAGCAATGTGAGTTTTAAAAGATGAGTAGGTGTTCAATAAGTGGACACATCAGGGGATGAATATTCCAGGCAGAGGGAGCTAGGTGCAAAGGAACAGAAGTACTAAGGACTTCTAAGTACGAGTTCTTGTTAGTACTTCTTAGTACTAAGGACTTCGTACTAGGTACTAAGTTCCAGAAGAATGGAGTTGGCATGGCGGGAGGATACAGTACATAGGGAGAAAGGACAAACGGTAGCAAACTAGGAAGGGAGCAGGCAAGGATCCGCAGAGGAGGTGACATTTTGACTGGGTCTTGAAGGATGAGTAGGAGTCTGCCGGGCAAAGGAGAGGGAAGAACATTCTAGTGGTGGGAAGAGTATATACAAAGGCCCAATGTTGTAAATGTGTATGAACTATTTGGGAGACTGTGTGCTGTCGCTGGAGCTCTGCATTTAAGGACTCCTGTCTCCCATGGAGAGGTTTCAGAGGTATCTGAGCTTGTTTGGCTGACCGGTGGGGTGGGCCCCCTGAAGTCAGTCTGCATGAGGGATTCAGTGGGGAACAGAGGCCGTACACAGGAACCATAAGGAAGAGGGATTAGGAGGACAGTCTCATGTCTGTCTTAGAGGCTTATACTCAGCCCAGCCTCTGCGTCCTGGCAACGAAAGGACTGGAAATGGAACTTGAAGGATTCATTTCGGTGCAAAAGTCCAAGAGACTCTGAGGCACAAGAAGACCCCTGCCTATGTGTTAAACTGGTTTCACGGAAGGTGGCAACATATAACATCACAGGTAGGGAGGGAGGGGAGCCTTCTCTCCACTTGTGCACAGGATAAGGTGCCACTGGGGATTTCGGAGCACCACCACCACCATGCTGGCACCTCTAGGCCTGCAGAAGGAGCCCCACCAGCCATATCCCAGCGAGTAGTGGTGGGGAGTGTCAGAAGACGTGTGGTGATGGAAGCAGTGGGTGGCCCACATGAAATGACCTCTGGGACTTTCTCGGAATCACCCGGGTGTGGAGACTACAGAGAGGAAAAATCCTGTAGGAGGAGAGAAGGGCAAACACCAATAAACATGGGCCACTCCTAGGAGACCATATTGCCAGGATGCGGGTGATCAGGGCAAAGGAAGAGTGCCAGAGGGAGCCAGAGTGTCTGGTTTAAGTTTTATGTGGTCCCCCCACTGGAGGTGGAGTAATGTGGGGATTTAGAGCCCACCGTTGCAGAGGAAAGTTTGCTGGGTTTTGTAAGGGGGGGGTGGGGGCAAGCTAACAGAGATGAGGGGAACTAGGTACAGCGGAATGCACAGTAAGGGGTGGGCCACCAGAGGCCAAAATTCGGGCCAAGTTGTAGGTCAAGGATTGTGGGTTTCGAGGCTCAGCATGGGGAAATGGCTTCTCGTGCACCTCCCACACCAAGGTAACACTTCTTTCCCCATTACCTTCAATCTTTTCCTTTCCATAGGGTCTCTCCCTTCAGTACTCAAACATGGCCAAGTATCTACCATATTTGAAATAAAAACTTTGCCAGGGCGCCTGGGTGGCTCAGTCGGTTAAGCGTCTGACCTTTGGTTTCGGCTCAGGTCCTGATCTCAGTGTTGTGGGATCGAGCCCCGCACTGGGCTCCATGCTCAGCGGGGAGTCTAAATACCTTCTCCCTCTGCCCCTCCCCCTGCTTGCACACTCTCTGTCTCTCTCTCTGAAATAAATACACAAATCTTTAAAAACCCCCAAAACCCCCCAAACTTTCCTTTGACCCCGTATCTTTCCCAGCTACTTCCTTCATGTAATCTCTCCACTTTCTGTAATGAAGCTTCTTCAAGGAGTGGCTCTAATTTTTGTCTCCAATTCCTTACCTCCCCACTCACTTCCAGCTTCTGCTCCCATCACTCCCCCAACACGTCACCACCAATGACTTCTGTGTTGCTCAGCCCAGTGCACACTTTTGTGTCCTTCTATCATCTGACACTCAGGCTCTCCTGGCTTCGGCACAAGCACACATCTAATTGCTCTTAGGGGTTTGAGGCAACCTGGTTTGGATTAACATATATGACAAAACTCTCACCTTGTTCCCTGTGCAGCAGACTGAAATTGAGGCCCTCCTGAAACCCAAGTCAGTGGCCTTCTGTCCCCAACCTCTTCAGTGTCTTGGCCATGCCCTTCGAGAACATCCATGGTCATAAATGAACGTCTGCTAATCCCTTGACATGCACTGGCTAGATTAAGCCTCACCGTGGGATTGCAGGCAAAAGGCAATAGCACCATATTTATCCCCGTTTCACAGATGGGGAGATGGGGAGATGGGGAGACTGACACAGCTGGGAAGTGCAGAGCCGGGATTAGAAACACAGGCAGGCTGACCGCAAAGTCCCCACTCTTAGCGAAGTTGCCACAGTGGGAGCGAGGGGGCATCAAGCTGAGTGTGAAACAGCCAAGCCCACCCATCGCCCGCTACTTGGTCCGAGGTCAGCACCGACCAGGGACTCAATCACTCCCGCAGCATTCCTGCAGATGATTTTTCAAAATTAACTTTTTTATTAATTTAAAAATCCAGAAATACAGTGACTACATAAATAAGTACCCTATTCAGGTACGTGTCCTGTAAGAAGAACAAAAGGCTAATACTGTTACTTTACGTTTACTCTTACTTGTTTACACGAGTTAACTAGAACATGGCTATAACTGCTAAATGGTGCTTATGGTCTTTGTTGTTCCAGGTGTTTATGATACAAATAAATACACAAGAAGAACCACATCCATTCCTCTCCTAACTACAGGGGACTCCGCCTCTTCTCCCCATGCCCTACTGCTTATACCACCCAGAACCCCGCAAGGTTTCTACGTTGGCCTAGCACAGCTCCCCAGCCCCTGCTACACACAGCACATGGGAAAGATGTGTCCCCGCACCTGGGGGCAGACGTCTATCTAGGGAAGCTCTCTGGGTGTTCCCTTATGGTTGAGCTTTCAGAGAACACCTGGGTGGGAAGGCTTTGGGGTGAGTCATCCAGAAGGGGAAATCACCACTTGGCTTGAGGATCCAGTTACTTGTTTCCACACTATGGAAATGCTGCCACCTCTGGGAGGGAGGCCGAAGCTACTTAGCAGCCTCGTCCCCAGTAATGCTTTCTGGCCCCTCAGCCCTGGATGTCCTCCCTCCCTTTCCTGTGGAGAGTATGTATGAAGGGTTGGTAGGAGGCTTGTCTGGTGAAGGCCTGGCCACGAGGCGCCCCTGTATCTCTTTTAGGAGGACAGCCTCCATTATGCCAGGTTGCCATAAAGATTTTTACATTTTTCCCTATTGGTGTCATCGACTGTAAGGAAAATAACGTTCCTCTCTCCTATGGTCATGGAGTGGGAAATACAGGATGTCTGCGTCCCTGATACTTCTGAGTACTCATCAGAGTTCATTCAAGCCCCTCAGAAGGGATGAATCTAGAAGGCAGGCTTGAGATCCTTGTGGAGAATTTATAGTTTTGCCACAAAGATGATGTCTAAAGCCAGGCCTCAGAACGGTAAGTTCTGCTCTGGTATCGAGCTGTGAATAGACAGTTTCTGAGCAGCCTTCTCTAGGATTCATGACTCAAATCCCTGCTTGGTGGATGAGATGAGAATGGTAGGAAAGTTTAGAACAAAGATCCTTGTCAGAATATCCACTTCCCCACATGAGCAACAATTCTCCTAACTGAACAGCCAACCTTCAGAAGCTTGTGGGGACTGAGCCCCTTTGCAAAGTCAAAATGAACTCCTGTAATTGGAGAAGAAGGAAAACCGCCCTTTTAAGAAGCTTCTAGAATGTAATCATTTAACCTAAATTTTTGGACTACAGAACCCTGGCTATCAAGAAAATTAGCGAGTATTGAGCTATTTGTTGGGGACTCTTATTGACTTGAAAACACAAGGTTTCCTTGTTGACTTCCATCCACCATTTTCTTCAACAATTATTTTGTCTTCTGTGGATTCAGTTTCTGAAGATTTTACTCCGTTCTAACGTCTTTACGGGGCCCCCCACAGGCTCAGGGAGAAAAGAGAAGTACCCACAACTTCAGAGCTACTTGGGAGCCAGGCGAGGGAAAGGAGGGGAGAGTCTATGCTGGCTTTGCCTCAGAAGGAAGGCGGCAGTTTAGTGTGTGTGTGTGTGTGTGTGTGTGCGTGTGCGTGTGCGTGCACACGTGTGCACACATGCATGCTTGCATACAGGCATGTGTGTCTGTGTGGATGAGGATGGGCAGTTAATATTTTCTTAAAAACACAAGACATCCTAAAATTCAAAGAGTATAATTTCATACACATATTTTCTCTGTACTACACAACTCCTACTAAGCAAATACTCATCGGTTTTCTTTCATTGGAGTAACTTTCTAGATAGAAACCCTAGGGTTTGGTTTACTCTTTAACCTGTGAAGAAATGTGATTCTCCCAGAAACTAGAGCAGTGTTGTGGTGTTCTAGCCCTCCTCCTCCCACAAATAACTCAAGACTCTTCTAGTCTCTTTGCAGGAGGTGTTTAAGGACTGACACACCACTCCACATAAAGGAGCAAGTTATGCTGTGCATGGCGTGAATAATGAACTGCATTTGAGTTTGGCGTTTTAGGGCACTGTTGACTTAAGCAAAATCAGCCCGCAGTCCAGCTGCAGCTTGAGTTTTCTTGCTTTACCCTCTCCAATACTGTCTGTCTCGTCTAACAGTGGCCCTTTTCAGACCTCTCCAGGTACAAAACCTTGACCAAATCTTCAAGCTCTGTTCTGCACACACGACTTGAACACATCTGGCTGATCTGAGCTTCTCCTTCGGTGAATATCTTCCACTGGCCTACAAAGCAAACACAGAGTAGCCCAGACATATAAGAGGAGGGCAGAGCCAATTAGGAGTGTAACCAATCTACCCGATCCTTACCCGCTCGCTCACCGGGGGGGTGGGGTGGTCGGAATACAAACGTCAGGTGGTTTCAGAACAGCCCTGCAAAACACATTTCTGGGGACAGATATGGAAAACGGGCCACAGGGTATTCATTTCAATATGCAGGATTTGTAAGAATCCCAAGAATAATACGTAACGGCCTCAAGAGTCAAACCTAAGTATTTTTCTTGGAATTTTTGCAGTATATGCACGATTTGTGAAATGCCCCACTATCAGGTTGTGAGCTGTTTAGGTGGCTCACTTGGGACCAGGCCAAATAAAGCAGTACCTGTGTGTTACTGAGGCTTTGCTTACTTTTTGGGGGGCCAGATACCAGTTTAGGGGACTTGATTATTTACTGCTCTTTTCTCTATCCATGCCACCCTTTGCTAACAACTGCCCACCTCTGTTTTCTCCTATGCTCACATGCTGTCTTTACACCCCCTTTAGCATCCCTCAATCCCCTCCTGTGCTATCCCTCCCATTCCCTGTTTTTTCCTCTCCCTCCAGGGACGTGCCCATACTTCCAGCCTGTCCTTACCAACTTGCCTCTTCCCCATTCCATCATGCTAGTTGAGCAAACATTTTTGAGTTCACGCCTTGTGCTGAGCACTGACTGGTAACCACTCTAGATCATCCTTCTTCTGGACCCATACCTTCTCGGAGTTTCCTGATCCTCAAGTGGCAAGATCTTCCTTCTCCTGCTATCACCTTGCCATGGCAAATAATCTTTGTAACAAACTGCCCACCCCGGATATCCTCTTTGGTCTTTCGATTCCTGCTCTCGTGCTGTTACAACCTGGGGAACTCCTAGTCCAAAGTCAGTGAGCTCCTCTTCATCCAGAACCTATTTTCAACCTCTTTTCTTTCCCTGGCCAAAGAAGATCATGACCCTCTTTCCTTACAGACTCGATGTCTCCACTTCCTGTCTCCCTTGGATCATTCACCTTTCTCTGTTCTCTCCAACTCAATGGGAAAGGAGAGAAGGGTCGGGCAAGGAACCAGCTTCTACCAAAGCCCTGCTGTGTGCCAGGATCTGATGGCCTCATGATAGAAAGGGTCAGGCTTGTTTTTCTTTGCCCCCAGGTGTCCCTGCAGGGTCATCTTAGTCCCCACTTCCTTCGGCTGCACACAGCTGGAGGCACACACTGTCTTCTTCCACTATACACCCCAAATCCTGTTATGAACAGAGAGTTCGTTTCAACCATCTTTCAAGCCCCCCAGTGCCTAGCACAGTGCCTTGCTCACGGCAGAAACAAAAATGTGTTCTTTGAAATTAATTGGTAATTTCAAAAGTCACATCATTAGTACCAGATCCTAGACTCTGCCCCCTTTGTTCCTTACTCACATGTAAGGACTCCCAACCCCTTGTTTGAATTCTCTCCTCCCTCACGTTCAGTTTATCGTCCGTCAGTCTCCTACAGAATAAACAAGTGACCTCATCAACCCTATTTCCCGCTGCCCATAGGATAAACTCTTCTCGGATGACCTTTAAGTATCTTCATCTAAACATGTTCCAAGTGAAACGGGCTTTTCCCCTCAGTACCTGCTTATTCTCCAGAGTTTCCCGTTAGCAAATTAACACTATTCACCAAGTCTATAAAGTTGTTACTGTTGGAGTCATTCCAAACGCACTTCTCTCTTTGTAGCGATCCTGATGATTTAACCTCAGAGGTGTCCCTCATGGTGACCTCTCCTTCCCTGTCTGACCAATCTAATACAGTATGAGTTGTTTTTTGTTGCTGTTGTTGCTGTTGTTTTATGGTATAAGAGCTTCCTGATTCAGAGTACCACCAGCTACTTATCACTGAGAGTTCACTTTTCACTCCACACAGTGGGCACTCCATTCTAAAAAACAGATGTACTGCATTTCTGTTAACTTCTATTATAAAAGAATTAAAAGATATATCTTAGTTTCTAAAAAAATAAAAAACGGATCTGCATGCATCGTGCACTTGGTTAAAACCCTCCCCTGGGGTTCTCAGGTCTGGAAAGCAAGTCCAACTTCTCAGCATGGCATACTGGGCTCTTTGGAACACGGCTTCATCAAAGTAGGTATGTAATAAATCCGCCTGAGGGCCAAGAGACATCTTTCCGAAGCACCATTTCCATCTCGCTAGGCCATTTGTGAGTCTGCAGCAACTACCCACGCTACTTGCCTTCTCCGTGAACTTCTCTCTGGCTTCTTCCAGGGCCCTCCACCCCCACATTTCTTGTTTGCTCTTGTCTGAGTCTTCTCTTGGGCTGCACCCTCTCTCTGAACGGATTTCCTGACCTGCAGCCCCATCACACCCTTCTCTTTCAAAACACACCTCCTCCCTGAAGCCTTCCTTGACTAAGCCTGCCTGGCTCTCTCTCGTCTCATTGTTCCTCGCAGATTTCCCCTGAGTACTTAAGTATTTAACTCTTCAGAACTAGACTGATTCTTAGAGAAGTCATGTTCATGTTCTGTCTTGCCCATTGAAGTGCTCCCCACCCCCCACCCCCACCCCCAATACCTAGCAGTGTCTAGTCCTTAGGCTCCACCCTGCATAGAAAGAGGGAGAGCTGCAGGTATGCCTGAATGAGTGCCTGGATGCTTTGAAAGAAACAGGACCACTCAGGGGCAGTTCCACAGAGTCGCACAGAGCTTTGCCGAATTGGGATGCGTTCACTTTCTCTCTCTCATCCCCACCACCAGAGGACTTATCCTTCCAGATGGGACGTCTCCACAAATGTACCAACCAGCCCCGGAATCTTGTGAGCTTTCTCTGACCCTCTGGAGACTCTGGGGTTAGCAGGGTTCATTGAAGAGAGTCAGGAAACCTGGACTCGAGGTAGCTTATGCTCAGACCACATCTGGATTTGTCTTCAGATCCAAGCTTTTCAGCTCACATTCAGACACCCCCTCCGCTGCTAAGTGCCCCCCAGAGAAGAGACAGAACATCCTCTGACGTTGACACTGAGCCCTGCTGACATTCACCGAGAACGCAAAGGCACTTTATTGGGGGCTCTGCTACATGGAAGCCTGGAGGTGTTTTCCAGAGGAGGAAAAAAAATACAGGTACCACTTACTCAGGGTTGTCCTGGTCACCAGCTTGAAGTGATGGAGTTCCTCAAACATCCTTTTGGAGATCTTCTCAATATGGAAGTGCTGGAGAATGCCTGGGGCCAAGTGAAAAAGTGGGGCAGGTGGTCAGGCCCTCTCTATCTGGAACCACCCCCCCCTTTTTCTGCTTGGGTTGAGCATATCATCTCATTACAGGGGTTTAGGAGTATCGAGCTGGGCTGTGTAATGTGCTTAACCAGGAACTTGGATGGCTCAAGGGTTATAATTGACTCCATCTGTTTCCTTGGCTCACTGGCCTCCCCTTAGTTCTCCAGAGGATAGAGATATGGAAGATAGTGTTGCTGACCATGGGACCCCCCTCCTAGGGAAAGCCACATGGAATCGAGCAAGGGTGCTGGTGGGAGTATCTCTACCACCAAAGGCGGCATTGGAAATTTCTGCTCTTGCCCCCGGGTCCAGGTAGATTATGTCCCTGCCAAACTACTGGGCTGCCCTTCTGGCCAGGCAGTGAGACAGCCGTGGGACTGAAGACAGGAGAAGCCATCCCTGTTCCCAAACTCACTGAAAAGCGTATTTTCCTTTGGGAAATATCCACAGCATCTTTAGCTTTCCCTTACAGAAAATGGGGAAAGTCAAAATGGGGGGGGGCGGGTACCCACCATCTCCACTTTGCCTGAAAAGTGATTATTGGAATAACACCCAAATGGAAAATGACCTTGCATTTAAGGAGCAACAAGTTACCAGCCTACTTAATCCTCAGGAGGTCTAGAGAGGGCCACGTAATTGAAGCCTGGGTGTTTCTCTGCTCACCAAGCACAGTCCTTGGCTGCCCAGCACTGAATAAGAGGTCACTGAGATGCTATACCAGCAAGCCAAAAAACCTCCACATGCCTCTAGGGAGTGTGAGGTGTGGAGCAAAAAATAGTGGGTCCGCTGCTACGGAAGCCAACAGAACAGGGCTTAGTCCTAGATGACCAGTTCCAGAGGAGCTAGGGAGTTAGAGACGGAAAACCAACATTCCTAGGTATAGTGCAAAAATAAACACGGATGAGAAATATGTGTGTTTTGGCATATTTTTTCAGGGGTGGGGAGGAACTCATTTTTTCAGGCAAAGAAAGTCGGGAAAAGGGAGAGGAAGGAGCCCCACTAACACTCGAGCAGTTGTTTCTCAAAGGACAGTCCAAGTGCCACCCAAATTAGAATCACTGGCTGTTTGGGACACACGGAGGTGCTCGCTAAGGCCTACTGACTTCACATCTCTTGGACGGGCCCAGGTAGCTGCGTTGTAAACCAGCTCCTTGTACAATACCAAAGCAGAATAAAGTCTGAGCACTCTTGAGCCTTAGGCAGGCGACAGGAGAAAAAGGACGTGCATTATTTCCCAAGTGAAATCTTACCTCTTTACTTGGATTCCTAGAAAAGTTGACCAGACTAGATCAACACTAGCCTTGTATCTAGATGCAGGATGGCTTGAAGAGCTATGGACCCACAAAGAACACAATGTAGCTTGCTATGGCAGTCAGTGTGAGTAATCACAAAAGGAATTGGATGGACATAATGACTGGGAGTGTCCCTTTGGTGAGACTCTAAATCTTCTTGAGGGCAGGGATGAGGTTTTCAATGTATCTTACCCCAGAGTACATAGCATGATTTGAGAGACGTAACTTCACACCACATGCATGGATTTTCATGTTGGTTCAGCTTCGTGTTGGAAAGAATGGTAGGCTATAATCTGGTTGGTCATGACCTTAGCTGCACATTAGACTCACCTGTAGAGACTTCAAAACCAACACTTATGCCAAGGCCCCATTCCTGGCCGATCCATCGACATCTCTGAGGGTAGGGCCCAGGCATTTGGTATTTACAAAAACCTCTCCCAGAAGATTCTGATGTGCAGCCAGAGTGGAGAAGCACTCCTCCAGCCTTTGTTGGTGTGAGAAAGACAACAAACCCCAAGGGCCAATGCTTAGCTTTTTGGACAGGTCATGGTTGAAGTTAAAGGTCATAATCACAGATGTGTTAGTCATGTTTCTGAGCAATCAGGAGAACTGAGCCAAACAGAGGAATAGGTTGAAGCAACATTAAGGTGAGTCTCCCCCTCCTTCCCTGTTCCCCCACCCCTTACAAAAAAAAATAACAAGGATTAATATTGTCTTGCTCACCCTTCCGGATGGTCCAAACGTGGACCTCTACCTGAGGTGGTCTCTCTGTCTCCAGGGCTATTTTTCTGGTGGTCTCCCCATCCTCCATGAACACAGACTCATACACGGGCATTGTTTCTTCTCCACAAAAGTAGCCCTTGCTGTCAAAGTTTTGGCCTGGAAGTTCTTCTGGAATCAGGAAGCAAGCAGAGGTTTGTAACGGCTTTCTAAAACCAGAAGCAAACTTCTAGGCATTCAGGCATCTCGCTGTTCATAACACCTCACACTCATCCAACATGGACAGTCAACAAGGACATTCTCACGAAGATAGAAGTCCCACCCAATATTTCCTTGGCTCAGTTTAGGCTGCCCTGTAACAGCCACCAAATCACAAAGGGACACATGACCTTTCATTGAAGTCCACATGGCGAAAGAATCCACAGCTCCGCAGAGCCCTGACCCATCAAGCAAACCGGATCCACCCACCGCCACAGAGGAGGGGACCTTCATGAGGAAGAAGAATGTGGCCATTTTCCATGCTGGGTCCCGATCATGGTCTGTTTAGCTCGGTGTTACCAATAGAGACCCAGGAAATGGGCTGACAGAGCGCCTTGGTTAACTTCCCTGACATCACTTAGGTATACTTAGAAAACATTTATGACACTCACTTATGTGCATATACTTGCCCAAAGGATCTATCCAATTTGGCGTGACATTTCTGAATGCTCTTTGATTTGTTTGTAAGGGGAACGATAATACCGGATCAACACCAGTGCCAAAACCTAGATGTCAGATTAGTCATATGTACGCTATGCCAAATGAACAGTTGGGAGACACACACACACACACACACACACAAAAACTGGTCAAATCCCTCAACTATGGATCATTTAAAGTATAATCTAAACTGTTGGATTTCAGCTTCCAGGCATAAAGATACCAGCCCCCTCATACTTCCCATTCCACTCTGCCCTCCTCTTTCCTCAGCCCCCAACCAAAAAACCCCCCAAAAACAAACAAAAATGAAAACAAAAACACACACAAAAAAACACACACACACACACACAAAAAGAGTTTTTCTCCCATGTGGTTATCCATGAGTTAAGTTTCCTTGCTGGCTTTGTGATCTGCACCCTCTTCAGCTGTGTCTTTAAAGTGTACACTCAAATCAGGAACAACAAAGAGAAGCCATGGACACCCCAAAACTTGGAGTATGTGCAAGAAGTCATCTGTAAGATTATCTGATGAAACCACTGAGTGCCGGGTGTGTTGGATCTGTGACTCCAGTTAGGGACTCATTGTTAGCCAATTGGATGCATGTGGACCACAGGGTGGAATCAAATTGCTATTGCACATCTCTTGCTGACCTGATTAGCTTTCCCACCCCCACCACCATTTTGGCAGTGTAAGGACAAAACCAGTCTTCTCTTGATGATTCCAGGTTGGACTTCTCAGTTTGCAGGTCCCCTTGGAATCAAGCTTCCTTTCTCCTTTTGTCTTTTGTACTTATTTAATTACTTGGTGGGCCAGGCTTTTTTGGTGATATGTTAGTAATTAAGGGATGTGTGCTAGCATTTTTCAAGTGGGAGAAGTGGGTCTCTGGGTATAGAGGGACCTCTATGTCTTTATCACCTTTAGAATGAGAGCTGAGTCAGTTGTTAAACTTTTTGCACTGGGGGTGCCTGGGTGGCTCAGTCGGTTAAGCATCCAACTGATTTTGGCTCACATCATGATCATGGGATGGGGTCCTGCATTGGGCCCTGCAGTCAGCTCGGAGTCTGCTTGTTCCTCTCCCTCTGCTCCTCCCCCTGGTCATGCTGTCTCTCTCTCTCTCAAATAAGTAAAACCTTAAAAAAATTTTTTTGCACCAACTTAATACTGGCTACAGCTATAAATGCTACGTGATCTCCATGTTGGCACTGTAAATACCTGTGATGTGCTAAAAGTTCTCCCAGTGTCCTGAAGAGTCGCCTCGCACCTCCCCCCACCAAGAGCTTAATTTACTCAGCAGCACCCCCCCACACACACCAAGAGCTTAATTTACTCAGCAGGAGGGCTCTACAAACAACAAAATCCATCAGTGACTCAACCCTGGTTGGCGTCTGAAAATATTAAGAATAAACAAAGTATGCCTTTCAAGCTACCCGGTGGGTGACATCCTCCTCATTCCACACCCTCCACCTCAAGGTGCTTTCTGATCTTCTGATCGTTCCAGGTTCACCTTGTTTCATTTCCTTTCAAGGAAGCCTGCTATGCTTCAAGTTATTTCTGGCCATTTCCGCTTCCCTTGAGAATGCTTGTATCCCAAGCTCTCCAGAACTAAGAAATTGAGAAAGCATTTCCTTATGGAGGTGGAGATGACTAGTGATGTATTATCCCTGCCCAGATAACTTTTAAGTCTCAACAGGGTCGTTTTCTGCTGTCAACCAAAAGGAGTGTGTAATTATGGGAATTCCAGATATTGGGGAGGTGTGGTGAGGGTGGGAGAGGAGTTGGGGAGCCTTCAGGCAGTGGAAGTCATACACAACCCTGTAGGTGGCCACTGGTGCACAAAGCCAGGCCAGCCTCTACCGGAACAAGGGCAAGAGAGAGAAAGAAACCTCCCATCCTTTATTTTGGCCCTCACTTGTGACTGGGGAAGCCTGCAATCATTTGTTAGAATGAAACTTTTGGCTGGATCATCAGTGAGTTCTATTTCCCTTCCCTTCTCAACACAAATCTTCTTCCCTCTTCATTCTTTGTCCCTTTTTCTCTGTCGTGTATTGTTTTCTAAGAGGCTGAGGATGTCATGATCTTCCCCTTTCTTGCTCCTTCTATCACTCAGGACTCTACTCAAATATCGCTTCTTCAGAGAAGCCTCCCCTGGCCACTCTTTTGAAAGTGCCCACCCTCCCCTTCTTCACTGTCCCCTGATCCTGCTTGGTCTTTCTTCACAGTACCCATCACAACCTAAAATCACCTTGTTGTTTGTGTTCATTGTCTTTCTTCTCCCGCTAGGATGTAAGGATGATGCTGACAAGTGGCCTTAGTTAACTGGCTTGTTCATTCCTCTGTGCCTAGAACAGTGTCTTGCAGACAGTAGGCACGTAATACGTATTTCTGGATCAAATGCATGAGTGAGGACATGTTCTCTGATGCACTGAGGTTTCTGAGGAGCTGGAACAGGTGCCCTGGTGTCTGTGGATGGTGACTCTTGGCAGGCGACCTGACTATCAGGCGTCAATTTGCAGACACCCCTGTCTGCCTCGCTGAGAGACAGGTACACAGAATGGGACAGAGACTGTCTCCTGCCATGTTGCTCCATAAGTTCTGTATCTATCTCCACACCCCCGAGCAGGGTGGCAAAGCCGCTCTTCTAGAGAGACAGGTTTGGTCCATCAGACTCTGACATATTGCCAGTTGGGATTCTGGAGGGCAGTTCTTTAAACAATAACTTCTTCTAATTACAAAAGTAATACGTGTTGTCAGAAACTTGAAAAATGCAGACAAACCAAAAGAAGAAAATGAGAACTACCTATGGTTCAATCATCCAAAGATAGCCATCATTAACAGTCTGCCATATGCCCTTCCAGCCTTTTGTTTTGGCCTAAGTGTATTATAAACACTTTCTTTTTTAACACAAGTGGAATCATATTGTTTTGTAGCGTGCTCTTTGTACTTAACCGATCTGTCACAAACATCTTTCCATGCCATTAAATCTTGGTCTACGATGATTTTTGCTGGCCGTATAATATGGCATGGTATGGCTATACCGTCATTTATTTAACCATCCTTGTTCTGGGTTCAGTTGATGGGTTCACTTCTTATTTGAATCACCTGCATCACTAAAGGCCTAAGCATACAATGAAATGGGATTTGGTCTGAAGGGCTGAGATCAAAACTGGAATATTACATAGTGGGGATGCTCAAAAAAATATATGTTGGCTAAGTTTGTGGTTGCCTGCTGATCATGAGGAATTGCCTCAGCTGAAGGAATACATGATTTAGCTCTCTGCCTACTTTGAAAATTTTTTGGCTTTTCGTATGTGTTTACAAAACTGCACGTAGGCATAAGAAAGGATAGATAAATTCATGCGCAAGGAACAGACTCATTCATTCACTCCTAGAATGTTGGAGCTGGAAAGGCCCTAAGAAAGCATCCACTCTAATCCTCTCGTTTTTCAGAGAAGGAAACTGAAGCTCAGAGAGGTGCAGTGACGTTTTCTAGGTCACACAGGAAACCAGTGGCAGAGCCAGGATTAGATTCCTTGATTACCAGTCCCTAATGCTGTCAACCTCAACACTACAGACTATATTTTTATCTACATCATAGGCGTTAAAGCCACTATTTAATTAATTTGTTTTTTTCTTATCAGTTCAATATTTTCTACTGGCCTAGAAAACACAATGGGCTGTAAGTGACCTGAATTTCAAACCTTGGGTTTCTTATCGATTTGCGTGACTCAGGGCCAGTCACCCAATACGCTTCAGTTTTATCTTTAATAGAGCAATAAGATCATTATAAAATTGTAGCTTTGGACGGGAGCTTGGAGATTAATTGTTCCAAGCTGTCCATTGTACAGATGAGGTTGATGAAGGCCAGGGAAGATTTGTCACATTTCCAAGGTCACACAGCAACCTTCGCTCAGGCCCAGAACCCATGATCCTTCCACCCTACCTCACCTGTCTCCTGTCCTGTCTCAAAAGGGTCATGGATGTGACTGTGTTTGATGAGTTAAACGGTGACATCAATGATGGGTGCTACTGTTCTTCTGTATAATCCTCATAATCCGATTTCTCTGTAATTTAGAAAAGCCAGGCTGAAGTCTGGCACTTAGGGCTACGTGAGACCAAAGGTGTGGTAGACACGGGCACACCCCCAGTCTATTTCTGAGTAGTAAGTTTCTTCCAAGGAATCATCTTATCAGCCCTTCAAGAGAGGGGAGAATGAAGTTCATTGTTAGAACTGGTATCATTACAATACTGTGACAGGTTGATTAGGTTGTTGATGCTCAAAGAACAATGAGAAGGACTCTGTGGGGATCTCAGTCAACCAAAGGCAGGGCTTCCAACCAACGCACCTTTTGCCTTTTTACCTGGACACACCTTGCAGCACTTTCCATCTATTTTTTGCGGATACTTGCAGGGGTATCGACTGGGGCAGTGGATTTTCTTACACTCTTGCTTGGTGATGTTACAAGTGCACAGCACACACTCCACAACGCCAAACGCCCGGAGGTTCGGGTGCCAGGACTCGCCATGGGAGTAGGTCTTTCCATTGGAAACACACACTGGAAGAGAACACAGGACTGGAAATTAAAGGCTAGGGAGCTGAAATGGGCCCCTGTGCTCAGAACCCAAGCCCTGAACCCCTTAAGACATCAAGCATCCTTTGTCCTTTTTGTGGCTGTTGGATGTACGTTGACAGAGCAGCCTATGTAACCAAAAACAAAAACCAACCCCCCAAAACCAAAAAACCAGCTCAGTTCCTGTTCTACCATTAGCAACTACTCAGGGCCTTTAGCAGTGACCTCTGGATGCACACAAGTGCCCAGGCCATCGTGAGCCATCAAGAAATAGCTCTGAAAGTGGAGGAACGTATCAATGGATGAAAGCAGAGTTCCATCTGCCCTGGGTACCTGATAAGGAACCGCTAGTAGAATTTAGTGTTAATACCTGCAGTTTCACAAAAGAGCTGTATGGCTCCTTGGCATGAAAATTTCCCAGAGACACTGGCTGCCCAGGGAGGCTAGATGCAGAAACTATTGCTCTTCCCAAAGGGCCAGTATTTCCAGATCCTGAAAGCAAATCCTTTGAGAATGTCACATGCTACGAGAGTCTGATCCACCAACACAGATGGGTATGGAATTAATGGTGCTGGCCTCCCATCTGGCATGGGAAGGAAAGCGCTAATATGAGATCAAGAGGGAAAGGATCATGAAGGAAAGAGCCTTCCGTGCCTCTAATCTTCAGGCAATGTCCTCTGGCCCCCACCTCACAGTGGCTGTAGAGATTCCACAGCAGTGAATTACTGCCTGTCCTATAGATGGTCTTTGGTGGTCTCACATTTGTTGGGCCAGAAGTGAAGTCATAGGCTCCATGTTTTCTAAGGTGCCTTGCAAAGAGCAAGCATCTAAAGAACTGCAGGCCAAGGGGCCTATGAAGGGAAGGGGCCACAGGAACATCCTCTAATGTAAACCAACCAAAACATATCCAGCTCCCACTGTAAGACATGGAGCTAGGCTCCAGGATAAGAACTCCACTGGGTTGCAAACGGGGAGGGCAGAGAATAAGTTCTCTCCCTTTTTGAAAGTGCTGAGACATTCTGGAGATTTTAAGCCATGACTGGGACTGGGTGTGTTTCTCATTATTCCCATCACCTCATCATACCCAGGGAGACCTGTCGGCATCCCGATCAACAATATCTCTAGGGTGGGTTGTATCACTTGAGGCGGGGCTAGGCTGGGAGAAAGAGCCCCACTTGGGGCGTTTCTAGGAACTGACTGATTTGGCCGCAAGACAACGGCCTCAGAAGGATGAATCATTGGGCTATTTCTTTCTCATCAAGTCCACTGGGTCACATTTGGAAATATGGATGATGTTGGCTGCTTTTTCCTGTCCTTTGCAAGTACTGCTAGAGTTCTAGGCGCTCTAGCAGGTCAATCCATGCAAAGATTTCCAAGAACCTGAGAACCTAAATGAGAGAATTTCCCAAACTGACAGGGAGATAGAACAGGGACTTGACATGTGGACTGTGAGGTTCAGGGCTGTGGATGGAATCACGTGACAAGACAGGCCAGATGTGTTGTTCTCTCTCCTGCCCCCACCCTGCCTCTCTCTTCCCTTCTAGACAATGTGATCAAGTGGGTACATAGTCTGCTTCAAGCAAATTTAGGCTGGAGTCAAGTTCAAAATGGCGGAGTCCTATCACTTCTCCCCTTTGACTCAAGCAGGGGACCAAGTGGATGCATCTCAGAGGGGCATGTCTGTTAGCAGGAAAGCTAAGGAGAAGGACAGATAGGACCCCCAGTGTTATATAGCCGGGTTCCCTCTCCCCTAAACATTTGGACTAAGAGAACAACCTAGACTGGGTGAGAGCCTGCACTCTGAGATGCAGGAGTGAGAGGTCAATGCTCTAGAGGGAAATGCAACCTTCTCCCCACCAACAGACTCTCGAGATGATTCTGTATCATCCAGGTGGGGCACTGAGAGATGAGGGTGGGGGCAAGTGATTCTCCAGTGAACTATAATAGGTCAGGAAAGAACCACTGCATCCAAATCAATGGGAGCAATGAAAAAATGTAAACCAGCTGGGCCCTTTGTATGACAGAAAATCAAGGGATGAGCCTCTGCCCTGAAATGAAGAGGCCTGTGGAAATTATGGGATTTAGGATTTTCAAAGTCCATTACCCCACAGGTTTTTTTAAGGCTTTGAAATACTTTCAGAGCAAATGGAATCTATTGGAGACAATTTAGGATTGAAAATCAAACTGCATTTTTACCTCCTATACCTCCGCATTTCATAAATTCTTATCAGAATGCCTTGGAATTTAAAAATAATACATTTCAAATCAAACCCAGATCGATAGTAAATATTTCTAATTCTTCTAATATATCACTATTTTTTATTAACAGTTTTATTTTGTATGTTCTTCTTTTAAACCTGTTAGTTTCAAAAGCGATTCAATGCTTTTTATCTGTAATCTGAAATTTACATCTAACTCGTAACAGATGTGATCAACTAGCTTTGGTTTGACCAGCTTTGTTGAGATTTATCGTAGGAGTTCTTTGTAACGGATTGTTTTTCACCCGTGTTATTCAATCATTTGGTTTAATAATTTATTACTTTTAACCCGTTCAGGGACCTGGCTTTGATTTGTTTCTCCTTTAAAGGAAACAAAACATGTTTGTGGTTTCATAAAAGGGAACCAGCTGAGCTCTTGCTCTGAAGAGCTGGTTGACAGGATGCCTAAAAAAGTAAGAAGCAGTCAATTGTTTGATTGAATTTCTCCTCCCCCTGCCACCCCCGCTACTGGGGTGAGGGTGGAGGCCGGGGAGCTCTGCGCAGGAAGGTCTGGGGCCACGGACGTGTGTGGGTGCCTGCCTGCAGCAGCTGGTCTGCCGAGTGGGCTGCATGTCCCTGTTAACCTGATCAGTCCTCCTGGTGCGCCGCCAGGAGGTTTCTGGATTTCTTACTGGATTACTCATTTCTAATGACAATCGCCTCATGTGAATTAGAATCTCTGAGTGTGGGGCCCGGAATACGTATCTTTAGGAAGGGGCCGGGGGAGAATCCCGGGTGCCCTGAGGTATGAGAATTGCTATTTCTAAGGTGTGGGGTTAAGAGTTTCAAAAGCGTCTGGTGCTGAGTACCTGTGAATATCGGGTGCCCAACCGGAAAACAAACCACCTCTCTTTCCGTTAACGATCCAAGGAGCTTTCCCCAATGACCTGCGACCCCCTAGGGCAACTGCGGAAAAACGCTGGGGGCTGCATCAGGTTCACTGCTTTCTTGCCTTTTGTCCTCAATAAAGACAGATACACCTGAAGTAGAAACTAAGCTCTTTGGGAGACCATTTAGGGAAGTCCTGACGGTCTCTTGGAGTCGCTTGTCCACACTCGCTTGGAGGCTTGATGGTAAGTGTTGCTCGTGTGACGGTCTGATATGCACAGGACACAGGGCCCTTTCCAGGTCCAGCCCTCCAAAGACGGGGGTGGGGACAGCGGAAGTCCTGCTGCGGAAGTGGTACCAAGGGAGCGTGTCCCTTACCTTGTCCGTGCTTGTGTTTGTTGTTGATGACAATCTGCACGATGGTGCCCGATGCTTGCTGGGAATCCATAAGAGCTCCTCGGTGGCTTCTGGCCCCAGGAAAGCGGGGCAGACCTCCAGCCTGTCGGCTTGGTGGAGGGTCGTAGTGAGAGCGGTGGTAGGAATGTCTCTGTAAAACAAGGAAAAACTCAGTCCCCCAAAGCCACCAGAGAGAAGGCAGGAAGGGAATGACACACACATCGAAGCCGTTTGATGACTTCTAGCGATGATCTGAGCTCTCTGATCTTGAATTAACTACGTGTCCACCCACACCGGTAGCCACAGAGGGATATGAAGTGAGAACAGCCTTGACAGCACGCTGAGATTTCTCTCTCTCCTTGCAGAAGACTGGGCAAGCTTCACAGACAAACCTCGGAGGGAGCAAACAGCCAAAAAAAAAGGGGGGAAATAAAGTGTCCTTCCTGCCCCCAAGAATCTTACGTGTAAGAGTTAAGGTACTAGCCTGCAAGGCAAGGCAGAGTGGGACAGAGACCACAGGGGAAGTAGAAATTGCTATGCGAAGTAGGAAGAGAAAGAGAACTGGCTGGGAGGGTTTGTGACCTGGGCCATGAAGGGTGGACAGGCAGAGTTGATGGGGAATATTCCAGGCAGCCATTTCCAAGTTGAGAAGGTGTAGCAGAGAAAATAGAATCCATAAAAGGGAACATTTGAAGGATAACATTCCAAAAGCGGGTTGCAGCCAGATCATGGAGCACTTGAAATGACAGGCTAATAAGGGGTGAGGACTTGGGGCGCCTGGGTGGCTCAGTCGTTAAGCGTCTGCCTTCGGCTCAGGTCATGATCTCGGGGTCCTGGGATCGAGCCCCACATCGGGCTCCCTGCTCGGCGGGAAGCCTGCTTCTCCCTCTCCCACTCCCCCTGCTTGTGTTCCCTCTCTCGCTGTGTCTCTCTCTGTCAAATAAATAAAATATTTAAAAAAAAATAAGGGGTGAGGACTTTATTCAGTAGGCTACAGAGGTAAGGGTGTGGGAGCCTTTGAAGGATTTTTTTTTAAAGCAGGGAAAGAGTCAGAACTGTGTTTCTAAGCATTGATCCTTGATTATGTATAGGGTGAACTGGATAGGAGGAAGAGATGGGACCCAAGGATAGTCCCGATAAGATGCACTGAGACTCAGGGGCGTCTGGGTAGCCAGTCGTTAAGCATCTGCCTTCGGCTCAGGTCATGGTCCCAGGGTCCTGGGATCGAGCCCCACGTCAGGCTCCCTGCTCAGCGGGAAGCCTGCTTCTCCCTCTCCCACTCCCCCCGCTTGTGTTCCCTCTCTCACTATGTCTCTCTTTGTCAAATAAATAAATAAAATCTTAAAAAAAAAAGAAAACCGGGGCACCTGGGTGGCTCAGTTGTTGGGCATCTGCCTTCAGCTCGGGTCATGATCTCAGGGTCCTGGGATCGAGCCCCGCATCGGGCTCCCTGCTCAGCAGGAAGCCTGCTTCTCCCTCTCCCACTCCCCCTTCTTGTGTTCCCTCTCTCAAATAAATAAACAAAATCTTAAAAAAAAAAAAAAAAAAAGAAGCACTGAGACTCTCAATGCAGCCGATGGCATGAATGAATGAATGAATGAATGAATGTATGCATGCTGTGGTCCCTAATAAAAGCTTAGAGTCTTGTAGTCCAAATGATGGAACCATTGCTCTCGGCACCATTCTGCTACCCACCCCTCTCCCAGGAGCTGGGGAGCATGAAGGCAGAGGAAGATGGAATGAATGAAGACTAGACCCTAAATCGAAAAGCCAAATAAATAACATTGTGTTTTAGGGGCAACTGTTAGGGGTAAAGGAGGGGTGACCCACTAAAAAATCTTTCGCAGGCCATTAGAAAGATCCTTATATTCAGTGTTAGAAATGGCAGGGGACCTTGGAAGGTAGTTATGAGATCCTCTAACCCCACCAGCGCATAAAACATTTATTATAGTTATGTTCCATAGACACACATGTTGCAAATTTAGCTTTGGGAATTATCATTACTCTCTTGGGTCGGGGGAGGCATTGGTGGGAGAAGGGAAGAGAGAACAGAAGCCGGAGGAAGAGAAAGAGAACATAACTCTCTAAATCTAAGAGTCCATGCCAATGCATTGCTTGAAAATCTCACACAAATAAGAATTTGCATCAATTTATTCTCATGTACACAGATGGGATTCTCAGTGCAAATATTTTTCGTTCCCACAATGGCTCATATGTCTTTTTCACTCGCATTCCACAAAGACCATTACAGATTGTTCTGTCCTTTCTGGAGTTTGGCAAAGTTTTGCCAAAGGAACAGAGAGAGGACAGTTTGGCTGGTGGGTGTCCTACCAATGATGCTAAAGGGAGGGAGTTCAACGGGGCTAGAATTTGCGAGAGAAAAGGCCACTGACCCAGGATCAGCAGCAAGTACAAGAAGTTCTGATTCATGAAGGAGAGAACAAAGTGAAAAGCTGTTCTTTGGTACCAGGCACTCAGACCCTGGACATACGGTTAGGGTAGAAAAAAAGATTCAAAACCAAAACCAAAAACAAAGAACAACAACAACAACAAAAAAAAAAACACAAAAAAAACAAAAAACACAAAAAACACAAAAACCTCAAGGATTTTTGATCAGCCCCCCAGAACCTCGCCTTGTTTAAGGCTTTTGTTTTACAGACAGAGAAACTGAGGCCAGAGAGGAGAGGGGTTTTATTTAGGGTGACGGTGAAGATTGAGTTTTTGGAGATGGCAGTTGAGTGAGGATGGATGGAGGGGGAGGAAGATGAACAGGAAGAAGAGGAGGAAAGGAAGGACAGAGCGGGAGAGGGAATGCGTGGTCAAGCTCAGTGGGCTGCAAATATTTGGCTAAAAGCTGCCTGAAGAAAATACAGAGTCTGCCAAGATAGGGGCACCTGGGTGGCTCAGTCGGTTAAGTGTTCAACTCTTGGTTTCGGCTCTGGTCATGAACTCAGGGTCTTGGGATCGAGCCCTGCATTGGGCTCTGCGCTCACTGGAGAGTCTGAGAGTTTCTCCCTCTGCCCCTCCCCACCTCAAATAAATAAATAAATCTTAAAAAAAAAAAAGTTTGCTAAGATAGCAAAGTCCAGGGGCTCCTGGGTGGCTCAGTCCATTAAGCGTCTGCCTTCAGCTCAGGTTATGATCCCAGGGTCCTGGGTTCGATTTCCGCATCGGGCTCCCTGCTCAGCGGGGAGCCTGCTTCTCCCTCTCCGCCTGCTGTTCCCCCTCCTTGTGCTCTCTCTCTCTCCCTCTCTTTCTCTCTGTCAAATAAATAAATAAAATATTAAAAACAAAAAAGATAGCAAAGGCCACTACAGTTTTCACAACCGGGGGGTAGGGGTGGTGATGTGTGATTTTGATTGAGGGTAATGGCTCTTTTAGAGTTGTTCCCCTAAACAAAGGAACGAAAGAGGCTTACCAGAGACCATTCTAACCTTGTACCTTACAGCAAGGGAGAAAAAGACATTAATGCCTTGGAGTGAAACTGGAGCTTATCTTCAAACCCAGCTGTGAACAGCCTGCTTGAAAGAGCAGGTCAAGACTAGTCAGGTAGAAATGGCCATGTAGCTATGCTTTGTTTTATTCTGCTCAATATTTTGGCATTATTTGATTTCCTGACTTGAAGTGCTGATAATTCTCTCAGGCTTTTTTTTTTTTTTTTTTTAAGATCGATCTATCTATCTATCTATCTATCTATCTATCTATCTATCTATCTATCTGTCTATCTATCTATCTAAGTAATCTCTACACCCAACATGGGGCTCAAACTCACGACCCAGAGATCAAGAGTCACGAGCTCCTCCAACTGAACCAGCCAGGTGCCCCTATCTCAGGCTTTTGAGGTGCTTCTCACACACTTCTTTTCTGGTGGTTGGAAAACCCCCATTATTGTAGAAAGTTCCCCAGGAATTTCTTCCTTACTTGTCCTAAGGTCTAAGATGGAAGGGTTTTATTGGCAGAGACAGGAAAACAGGACAGTTCAGGAAAAGCCTTCGAAGTGCCTTCATGGCTGTGAATCTAAAGTTATCACAAAATAAAAAGTTAATTTACAAAATGTCTTCAAAGGGGCACCCGGGTGGCTCAGTCGGTTAAGCGCCTGCCTTCAGCTCAGGTCATGATCCCAGGGTCCTGGGATGGAGCCCCGCATCGGGCTCCCTGCTCAGCGGGGAAACTGTTTCTCCCTCTGCTGCTCCCCCTGCCTGTACTCTCTCTCTCTCCTGTTAAATAAATAAATAAAATCTTTTAAAAAATGAAAAAATAAAAATAAAAAATGTTTTCAGAATGTGTTGTAATTCACACAGCCATGAGCGTATTACAGCTTCATCACTGGCCCCCTGGGACCATCCCTGTCTGGGAGACACTTGGGCCAGTTTCCTTCCCAAACCATCGTTCTGACAATGTGTGTGAGACATGGATTTCTATCTGTTTCCTATTGTTTCTATCCCTAAAGTTTTCACTTTTCTAATGGTAAATCTCTGAGTAATCTTTTGGGGGTAAAATCAGAGTTTGGCTGTCATCCAAAACAAAATTCTGCTTGTTTTCATGTTTTGGCTTTCCACCCTGTGTCTACTTCTCCCTCCCTATAACATACACACACACACACACACACACACACACCCATGGTACTAGGACCATTGCATGTGAAATTATGATCTAGAAACCATTTCAGGTTTTTACAAAGGAGCCATAATTGAGCCACTGGTTGTCCTTCCTGCACACTTCATAAAACTTGGTAAAGGGACTTGGCAAAATCAAGCAATCACCTGTGTTCCTATCGAACGGAGGTTTTCGAGGGTTCCCTGTAAATACGAACCTCTATTAAAGTGACAGTCTACCGGATTGGCAATGTGTTGTTAGGGCTGCCATTTTTGATCCCATACAGAAAGCTGGGCCTGCAAAAGATATTCAGAAGGGCTTCTCCTACCTTCTCATTTTTGGCTGGTCAAGAGCCAGCAACGAGTTTGAAACAGCTCTCTCTGATTTGGGACAAATGCCTGTACATTAACATTCATGAAAAGCCCCTCACACACGTTTCGTCCCACCTGCAATACCCATTCCTTCAACTCGTATTCCTTGGGTGCCAACTCTGTGCCAGGTACATATTTTTCTCTTACTACAGTTGCTATTTATCATTCAAATCACATCCCACAATATCTACCCCTTTTGGAACAAAGGAAAATATTTATTTATAATAAAGTGGAACCATCTGGACATTTTGGTCTACTGGGCCCATATCTTTGTTTCTTTCTTTTTTTTTTTTTTTTTTAAGATTTTATTTATTTATTTGACAGAGATAGAGAACAAGTAGGCAGAGAGGCAGGCAGAGGGAGAGGGAGAAGCAGGCTCCCCGCTGAGCAGGGAGCCCGATGCAGGGCTCGATCCCAGGACCCTGGGATCATGACCTGAGCCGAAGGCAGCCGCTTAACCAACTGAGCCACCCAGGCGCCCCCCATATCTTTGTTTCTAAAGATAGGTCTTGAACTCCTCTGAAAATCAATAGCTACTTCAAGGCCCTGCATTCTGTACCTGACCTCTTTTGCTACAGAAAGTACGGGATTAACTTCAGCCCCATTGCCAGCAGTTTCGGAAGAAGGACGAGACTGAAAGACAAGGGTGGGGTTGGAGGCAGCATAAAACGAAGTCAAGAAGAATGGCGGATTAATGGTCTCACCAGCAGGCCTGCTGAGCTGGCCACAAAGCTTAGTGTTGATACCCAACTGAAGGTGTCTGAGACCCAAATTCGGTGAGAAGGGCATGTGGTTGATGGCTGCGAATTTAGTCATTCTCAACGTCCTACCACCATAAAAAATGAGGGCGGACAAAAGGAGGAAATTCACAACACAGAAGATGGAGACTGGCATTATCTGTCGGGATCTGGAAGGAATCTCACTTCCTATAAAGCAGATAGAGCTAGATGGTGAAAATTCTTCTTAATTTTTTTTTTTACTTTTTAATTTAAATTCCAGTGAGTGAACCTACAGTGCAATATGAGTTTCAGGTGTACAAATGTAGTGAATTGACACTTCCTTAAACACCTGGCGCTCATCACAACAGGTGCCCTCCTGAATCCCCATCCCCTACTTCACCCATCCTCGGGGTCCATATGAACCCACAAACTGGGAAGCCCATCCTCTCTTGCAGGAGTGCTGCTTGTTTTGAGATATCCAGAGTATTGTTCTCCACCCCACCCACAATCCTTCCACACGCCTTCAGAAATGGCAGCACCTAGAAAATGACAGGACCGGAGAATAAAGCACACAGACATCACTTCAACTCGCTGCTGAGGATGTGTTGGTGATCTGGGGGCATGCAAGTCAGAAGCAATGCTGGGAGGTTTATATTGGCCATTTTATTATGTCCCCACCAATGCCTTCCTCACACCTTCCCTATCCTTGGTTTTGCCCCATAATTCCCTAGGCTCTGGCCTTCTATACAGTGCTTATTGAGAACTAATTCCACAGGTTTAAAAAAATCATTCAAATGTTATATACTGCAAAATGGATTGATGCTCATTGGAAAACATCCAATGATACAGAACAGAGTAAAAAAATCATGCTCCCCCTTTCCCCCTGCCCACTTCCACCCCTGAGATTACCACTCATAATGTGTTGGTATATGATCTTCCAGATCTTTCCATATGCATTCACATTCATGCGCACACACACCAGTTTTACATAAGGAAATGATAGTAGAAGTTGCATCCTGCACCTTGCTTTGTTTAAATAATGTATCTTGGGGATCTCTCCATTCGAGTACCCTTCAATGTCCTGCATTCTTTTTAACAACAGCACCAGGTCCCACAGATTGGGTGTATTCAACCAAGCCCCTATTGCTTATGTTTGGGTTCCTTCCATTTGTTTTGTTTTTTTTTTTAAAGATTTTATTTATTTATTTGACAGAGAGAGAATGAGAGAGAGAGCACATGAGAGTGGGGAGGGTCAGAGGGAGAAGCAGACTCCCTGCCGAGCAGAGAGCCCGATGCGGGACTTGATCCAGGGACTCCAGGATCATGACCTGAGCCGAAGGCAGTCGCTTAACCAACTGAGCCACCCAGGTGCCCCGGGTTCCTTCCATTTGTTTTGCTCTTAGGAAAATAATGCTGCATTGAATGCCCCATACACTTTTTTTATACAGGGGTCCAATGAATACCCATGTATGTACTGTGGACGCCTTTGTACATCTTGTACATTTTCATAAATCCTTCAGTATGATAGATTCCTTGGACTGGAGCATCTCCTTTTCAGATTTTCAGACGTTTGAGGTATGGTTGTACTTCCACATACGTTTGTGAGAGAGGGATGGCATTTTGTCAGTTACTGTGAAATACACAGGGGCAAGAGATGCTGTTGCTATACCCAGAGAGGCTTTCTGCGAGGTTAGCACTGAGAATGGGAATGAGATAATGCAGGGTGGGGACGGAGTAATGCAGCCTGCTACCTTTTCTCTCTTGCAGCTGTATGACTGAGAGCCTAAGGCTTAGGAAAGGCTTTATGGAGACCTGTCCACAGTACCTCTGCGGAGAGGATGGACGGACCTACCTTACACTCCCACCAAAGGTCCTCACTACCGAGGACAGAGGTAGTGACCTGTCTTCTTTCCAGAAGGCAAAGATTTGGCAAGCCATCCCGAAAGGCTAACAACTTCTGATCTATATGGGGCTACCTAAGGGCTGGGACTGTGATTTCTTTGTGTTCATGTCCTGGCCCTAGTTACCAATTATACAGTGTACTTAAATGGCTAGAGGTTGGTGATAATGCCATTTAATTTTCTGAGTAAAGGGAAAGAGCAATGGTGTTAGAAATGGGCCCTTTTATGGAGTTGCTGCGATAATAGCCATGGAGAGAGGAAAGTCTGGCCTGGTGCTGTGGAGGGTTGAATTATTTGAGCTATTCACACTTACTGCTTCTCTGTTGGCAGGTTGCCGGAAGATATCACCATCAGAATGTTCCCACGACAATTCTCCATCCCCTGTTTATTACAAAATAAAGAAAGAGTCATACATACATAGAAGGGAAAACCATTACCCTTGTGACCTAGCCACGTTTTTGGTTCTATGATCCCAAATTTCTCCGGACTTTTAACTGTTGTTAAGACGGCTATCCTTCCGGGCACCTGGGTGGCTCAGTCGATTGGGTGTCTGACTCTTGATTTTGGCTCAGGTTATGATCTCAGGGTCGTGAAATGGAGCCCCCACACCAGGCTCCACGCTGTGTGTGAAGCCTGCTTAAGATTCTCTCCCCGCCCCTCCCCCCGTCTCTCTCTCTGTCTCTCTCTCCCTCCCGGGGGAAAAAAAAAAAAATTGGCTGTCCCTCATAAAGTGACCCTGCAAGATTTCTTTCTGGGTCTGCCTCATTTTTCAAAAACAACTCTGAAGAAAGTTGACACTTTTTGAAAGAGCCCATCCATTCACACTGTACAAAATTTGGGAAACAAAAGGGAAAATAATAACTTTCCACTGTGATATAGCCATCAGCCTCACTTTTGCTTATTTTATTCCTGTGACAGTTAAGTATTTCACAGGTCATACTTAACTTGTGTTTAAACTACCCTTCAAAAATGAGAGTTTCGAGGATTAGGTCTGTCATAATTTGTTAAATTCACCCTTATGTCTCTGAGAAGTTATGACCTGGTCTGAAAGTTAAGGTAAAACTTGTGGTGGCTGGAATGTTTACATAACTGATACTCAAGATGTACTCCTCTGTTTCTGCCTGAGATTCCTTCTTCTGGGTCTGTGTGTTCTAGTCTCTGAACAGTGAACACCTATCATTGCCTCATTGTCAGAGTACTGCTAGTAGGAGGAAGAGCCTACTTTTAGCCTTCAGAACAACACAGCACAGACAGTGATAATCCTCAGCTGAATAAAGATCACAAACCACAGGACAATTTCCAAGGCTATTACCTTGTGTTATCAATGACCAAGCGAGTTGATGGGAAGAGCTTGGTCTTACTCTTTGTATCAATGAAACCACGTATTTCACAGGATAACAGGAAATACCAAAAAGTATCAGCGTTAAGAATTTTCTATTTGGGGCTCCTGGGTGGCTCAGTCGTTAAGCGTCGGCCTTCGGCTCAGGTCATGATCCCAGGGTCCTGGGATCCAGCCCCACATCAGGCTCTCTGCTCAGCGGGAAGCCTGCTTCTCCCTCTTCCACTCCCCCTGCTTGTTTCTGCTCTCACTATGTCTCTCTCTGTCAAATAAATAAATAAATAAAATCTTAAAAAAAAAAAAATTTTCTATTTGAATTTATCCCTCGAGCTTTCAAAATCTGCTTGGACATAGTAACACGTTACCGGTTCAAGGAGGTGGTAGTTAGTACTATGAAGGAAAATTAGGTAATATCATTGGGTTTTAGGACTTGCAAAAGACCCTGAAATTCCTTTGATAGCAGTATTATCAGGTAGTGATATGTAACGAAGTTATGGTTTTAACCCTTCATGATTTAAAGATCATCTCATGGAAAAAAAAATAATGCATTGTCAAGATGTGCTTGGGAGAGGGGCGCCTGGGTGGCTCAGTCGGTTAAGCATCTGCCTTCGGCTCAGGTCATGATCCCAGAGTCCCCTGATCGAGCCCCACGTCAGGTTCCCCGCTTAGTGGGGAGTCTGCTTCTCCCTCTGTCCCTCCCCTCTCTCGTGTTCTCTCACTCTCTCTCAAATAAATAAATAAAATCTTTAAAAAAAGATGTGCTTGGGAGATATAGACTAGGTGAGTGATCAGTAAGATATAATCATGGAAAGCTTCCTAAAAGAATCAGTCATGTCTTTAGAAGTAGACACTATAGGGCATAAACACACAGTGATGTGGGCAGAGGGGAGCCTGACCGAAGGGAATGGCATTTGCAAAGGAGCAGAGCTTTGGAAACAGCAAGGAACACACTGGAGACAGCCAGCAAGGTGTGGCTGGAGTAGAAAGTTCAGATGTGAAACAAGAGAAATGGGGATGGTGGAGAGAAAGAAAGGAAGGGGGGGGAGTGGGTGAAGAGGGAGGTAAGGAGGGAGGGAGACCGGTTGTTGACGTAAATAAGGGTGGTAAATAATTGCTGTGTAGACTTCAGAAAGAGGCTAAAGAATTCACATTTTATCTTGCAACCAATTTTTATGTAGAGGTTCCTACAGTAAAAGATGGTGATTTGTGGCAGCTTCTCCTGGTGATGGAGTGTCCCCTACCTGGGGAGCACCTGGAATCTGGGAGGCCAAACAAGAGGCTGTTGTAGTAACATGTGACAGGCCCTGAGAATCTTTGAAATCATGGAGAAGGGGCAAATCAGACTACTTCAGATAAAAAGGCAATGATAAGATCCCGATGGGAGATCTGATAACAGAGGAGGATGGCAAAAGAGAATACGGTATAAAAGGAGGCTAAGGTGGGGGTGGTGGTGGGAGGGCACATGGGTGGCTCAGCTGGTTAAACATCTGACTCTTGATTTCAGCTCAGGTCATGATCTCAGGGTCCTGGGATCGAGCCCCGCATTTGTTGGGCTCCATGCTCAGAGGGGAGTCTGCTTGAGGATTCTCTCTCCCTCTCCTTCTGCCCCTCTCCCCTGCTCTCTCTCTCTCTAAAGTAAATAAATAAATCTTTAAAAAAATTTAAAAAGGAAAGGATGCTAGCTTTGCAAATCTGAACAGCTGGGAAATGGCACTGCCCTTGACAGTGAATGAGTAGGGATGAACTTAAATGTACTTGGTCCCTTTTCGCTGGCAGTGGAGGGGCTAAGCTTTGTTGTGAGCTAGATGAAAATAGGGGACCGGAGAGAAGACTGGAAATCAGAAGAGATTCACCAGCAAATGGCAGAACACAATGGAAAAGCTATAGGATGTGTTTTCGAGTAAGTAGCCCAAAGAGAACAAATCACAAAAGAAAAATGATAGAAGAGCTTTCTTCACCAAACACGCCCTTTGCAAACATAGATTTACTGGTTGGTACTAACATGGAAGATTTACTTAGCATGACCCTCTGAGAAGTTCCATGTATTGCATTTAGACCCTAGAGTCTTGAACGGGCTTTTAGACAGTGTCTTGAAATACTTAAGAGTCCAGGCAGAATCCCAAAGCAGGTAGTCCCTGTTAAGTGAGCAGAGAGGTGAGACGGCATGGGAGCAGATGGCTAATGTCCTGCAACCCAAGTTCAGACGAACGTGTCACAACACCTAAGCACTCATAGGCAGGCATGTGTGCCTCAGTTGGAATGATTTCACTTCAATTATAAACTCCTGGAGCCATTACTTCTGTATATATCTTCTCAAGTAAGAATGACTACTCTTTTGGTTGCCTTTGAGCTTCTGACGTCATGGAAATGGCATTTGCTAAGCTGGAATGTTCTGTATGTAAGGAGTTATTCTATATAATTTGAACCATAGTTACACTGGAAGAATCTTCTTCAGCGTTCACATTTTGTTCAGCTGTGACCTGGGCCAAATCTGTCTGGAGAGCTGATTATAGGTCTGTCCATTTACCATCTTTTTTTTTTTTCCCCCTGATTTGCTGGACAAATTATCTTGAAAGGGAGCTTCTTTTTTCAGCCAAGGCCTTATTGAAAAAACAAAAAACAAAAAACAAAAACAAAACAAAAAAACCACTGATTCTAATGGAGACAGACAGATTCTAGTTAATTCCGAGAAGCAACAAGATGTAATTTTAACCAATTTTTAAAACCAAAATGAAAAACAACTCTAGTGTACTGTATGTCAAACAATATTCTTTTAACCTTAAAAGCCACATGTGTTGTTTACTCAAACCTCAATTATATTCTGAGTGGTACCCTATGGAGTTAAATGGCTTGGCTTTCTGGTAATGAGAGAAATGGGGAACAAGCATTTGAAAAATGGTCAAAAGCTAGGCTACAATTCAGACTGTTTATAACTCCCATTGCTTACATTAATCTCTGGTTAGCTTGAGTAAGTCACAGAAGTAAACCCTGTCCTCTCCAAAGGACTAAGTGTACAATGAGATTATTAGATATCCATAAAGATAAGCCTCAGAAAGCAAAACTACGCCAGCATGTGGCCACATCTGAACCACACATAACATCATAAATAGCGTGTCCCATAGGTCCTGATGGATCTGGGACAACCCAGTTTCACGCCTCTTTTTCTGGCAGGCATAATTACTAAGATGGCCCTCTCACTTTCAAAAGTGTCTTGGTTTGGAGGAGAAGATATGCAGTCGCTCTAATCATAAGGCACATGGAAAGGAAATGAATCCCCGAGACTGGCGCGGGGTTGGGGGGAGTGGGGAGTGATCCCTGTGACAAGGGAAAGTGATCTCTGTACTTCCAGAGGAACGTGTCGAAATCAGCAGAACCAGGGCAAAGAGTGAAAGGGCTTTTGAGGGAAATCAGGAGAGTGTGGAGAGGAAGAAAGCGATTGTTGTATCTCTGAGACCTACTATGTGCCAGGTTCTGGGGTGGGCCACTTGATAGCCAGGAGAGAATACTCAAACTGGAGATGAAAGACAGAGTGGAAGCAGATGACTCGGGGGGCCTCTGCCAAACATCCAATTCCATAAATTCTGTTGAGAGGGAGCAAGCATGCTGAAATTTGAGCGAAGCTTTGAAGAACCTGGGTAGAAGGATTCCCCGCTGGTAGACCTTGGAGCTAACAACAACGACATATAGTACTGCAAGAAGTCCTCCAGTGTTTTGTAGATAGTCATGTTTTCTAGAAAATACTCTGCTGTCCAATAACGCACTTTATTTTGGGGGCTGTCAATACAAGCTCTTAGCATTTTCAACAAACTATCTGCTTGAGAAACACTAAGACACAGACAAGGGGGAGCTCCTGCCAAGAGCAGCTAGCCAAATCGGAAGAAGAGTACAAAAGCATTTATCCAGAAAAATCAGAAATACATACTTTTTAAAAAGAGCATTATGGGAGACGCATGTGTTTGTGAGAGCAAATCCGGGGGGGGGGGCAACAGAGAAGCTATTAGCAGGATGGTACCCACAACCCACACTCTGCTCTTTCAATGGC